CTTTACTTGTTTTTGTTCGATCTCTTTTGCAGTGGACCCAGGTCTTCAAGTCTATGGCGGTGTTCTATTTTCCGAATTAGTTCATTCTGGTGGCGAGATTTTTAAAGGATTGCCTTTGAAAAAGTACTCTGATCGTAATGCCAAGAGCAACAACAATACGAGTAAGAAGAATGCTATAGCTGCTGCTGTGCCTGTAGCTGATAGTTATTATGCTGGTAACAGTGGAGGTTGTTTCAGTGGGGAATGTGTTGTGCAATGCAAAGAACAAGATGGAATGGTCAGAGAGAAACAGCTCTCTCAGGTTCGTGATTATTTGTTTGGTTGATTTGTTTTTTGTTTGTTTATCTTCATTGCATTGTATTGCGTTCTTTTTTTCTCCTCCAGGTTCGTTCTGGCGATTGTTTGCAAGTCGTTGATGCTGCTGGTCATGTTGGTTTTTCTCCCGTCCTCTGCTTGGTAGAATTTCAAGGACGCTTTGATTTGCTTGTTTTGCCTTTTTCCCGTTTGGCTCTCACACCGACGCATCCTCTTCGAATGCAAGGTTCTTTCGTTCGACCTTGCGATCTGTCATTCCCTATGAATGATGATCTGGCTGCTCATCATACTGAGATGCCTTCCTCTTTGATCGTGGATCGTGTTTTCAATGTGATCTTGCAGCATTCTCATGTTTTGCTTTGCATCAATGGCATGGAAGCGGTTACGTTGGGTCATGGATTTATGCAGGCCTTTCATCCGTTTTATTCAACGAAACAAGTGTTGACGACGTTAGAACAAAGACTAGGGTGGAAGGAAGGTCATGTCATCGTGGCTCCTCATCATCCTTTGCGAAATCAACATGAATATTAAAATTCAAAAACCCAATTTGGGTGGGGCAGATGGCTGTTCTTTCTCTCCGAGTGTTTTTGTTGTTTTTTTGTTGTGAGAATGGCATTATTATTGTGTTTTTTTTTTGTTTTAATGGTTTCCATTTCCTTTTGGTTCAAAGGCTTGAATACATGTGATGGCTTTGCCCAAGATCAAGGCGTGAATGTTCTGTGTGACAAAAGGAAAAAATAAAAATGAGAAAGATATGAAAGAAAATTGTTTAATAATAATCATAATAATAATTAACAAGTAACACTCGTCGCTTCGACTCGCTTAGCCCTCGACTGAACAAGATATCATATTCAATTTTTCACAGACGATATAGCAATAGAAGTTCACAAAAATTATACGAAAACGCAGAGTACTTTTTGAAAATTCTACTAGAAATTTGTACACATTCTAGAACATTCCTCGATAATGCTGTTGACTATAGAGTTCTCTAGGAAAATAGAAGTTCTGTGGAACCCCTAGCCGAAAATAAAACATATTATATCTGATCTCTAATCGAAATCTGATATATACAACAAGCTCTTATTCAAAGTAGTGATAAGACTAGACAGGTAATTTGAATATATCAATGTACATTCAGATACTTGAATTAATACAAACAAAAACCATATTCCAAAAGAAACATTCTTTTATTTCATTCATGTTCACTACCGATGCAGCGAATATAAATTCTTTCAGTAATACTTTTATTCTGACGAACTATTCAGTTATTTTGTCGAAACATAAAAACCGGTTCTCATCCTTGATTTGACATAGTTTTTTCAACTTTTTGTATCTGATATTCCTTATTCAGACCCATTTGACTTCGACTATTGACTTTTATTCAATGAATCCCAACACTTCGAAGCGGCACTTCTGGAGATAACCCAGTGCAGCAGCTAGCCGCGAGCGGCGCCCCTGAGGGGCGCCGATGAGTGACTAATTGCTCCCAGGTCTACTCCCATCTTTTCACAACACTATCCCTCTGTATTTTAAATTCACCTGGTCCAGAATTTACTATTTCAAAACTTCGTTAGTCTAAAGCGTTAGAATTATCGATAGGAATTTTCAAGCAAAAGTTTTCTCATGAATTATTTCTCATTGCCGCAATTTGATTGTAGAACTGAGAAACCAGAATATTCTTTGAGGTTCTCATTAAGGAAATCTTAGTGCACTATTCTTCAAAATGCCTAACCGATACAAAGATATTTAGTGAGATCAGTCTGTAGTATGTTTGCAATGTTAACGATTAACAGTTCATTAGCGCCCCTTTGGGGTACCAGCCACGGCTAAGTCCTCCTTTTACATAAGTGCACTTGGACGACAGTCTCTTATTGTCCATGTAATACAACAGCTACGATATCATTCACATATGCCTTTTCAAAACTATTTTCTTTGAATAACAGTAGCTAGACATTGCACATATCAGAATTCCCGAAAACATACCAGGATAAAAGTATCACTTTTCATAATAGTAATTATAGCATATGACAAATTAATGCCAGGTCTCAATGTTAGACCCACGCCTATCCATGTATATATTTCCGCAGATGATAGATTTAAAAACACGAAAGAACCTTTCTTATAGGTATCAAACACGACCAAATTCAATAGCTTATTCACTCTTATCGCGTACATTTAACTAATAAATAGTCAAAAACCATTCCATAGTAACTACAAATGACTCTCTTAATTGATAAATATTTTCATAAGACGAAAGCAAACATACAATTTCCAATTATTCTCTTCTTTTTCATACATTTATGCAAAACCGAAAAAGACATATACTGTTTTAGCTGATCATCTACTTCAGCAAATGCACATTCTAAATCCACAAAAAAATATACGAACCGAAAAACTAATTCTTTTCCTTTCAAGTTCGTTTTCGATGGAATGAGTTTAACTGTTTTAATGATGTTTTCCATCCATACATTGTCACTATATTCTATTCTTCGAGAAAAACTGGTCTTAGAATGCATAGAAAAATATTTCTCCTTTTTTATCACTTTGAGTCCCTTTTGAAACTCATCAGATCTAACCCCTTCACATTCTCTTGTTAAATCTTTTTAATTTAACGCTCTTCAAAAAGCAACTGTCGAGTGCACCAGCTAGTCGCTCATCGGCGCCCCTCTGGGGCGCCACTCGCGACTAGCTGCTGCAACCTCTGATCTTCTTCTCCCATAAGATAGTTCTTTTCACTTAAACCCTGTTAAATGACAGATTGCTCTTACTTAGAATATTAGATTTATAACACCATCGCTCCACACTGAAAAAAAAAATGGTACCATACCGAACCAAAAAAGGTATTTTGAACGAAAAAAGGGTTTCGTACATCGTACGGAACCTAAAAAGGTTTCGAATTCGTTGCAATTCTCTGAACCATTTTAGGTTCGGTACAGACCACTTCGAAAAACTTGAAAAAGTGTCCTGAGTCAATAACAATCAAATTTAGTCACCGAAAGTTTTGTACGAAACCTTTTGAGGGTTTCGTATTGTCTTCCTAAATAGTTCCGTAATCATACAAATCTTTTTGCAGCGTACCGAACCATTTAGGAAGACAATACGAAACCCTTAAAAGGTTTCGTACAAAACTTTCGGTGACTAAATTTGGTTGTTATTGACTCAGGACACTTTTTCAAGTTTTTCGAACTGGTCTGTACCGAACCTAAAATGGTTCAGAGAATTGCAACGAATTCGAAACCTTTTTAGGTTCCGTACGATGTACGAAACCCTTTTTTCGTTCAAAATACCTTTTTTGGTTCGGTATGGTACCATTTTTTTTTTCAGTGCACATGAACAGCTCCGGACCAACAGTTTCCTGTTATTTATTCCTAATTTCTTTAACCCAATGGTTTAGCCAATACGGTAAAATTTTATTAGGGCTTCTGGCTTGGAGAATCTTAGTTAATTATTCTTGATAAATGCAGGTTTCACGTAGATCTTTTGCTAAACAACATTAGAATACGTTCGCAATTTTAGCCACCACTAGTTCACCAACACTTCTCTCAGGCCTTGCTCATAGTCCCTTGTTGAATTCTTGGAATACATTAAAACAATCCTTGGTTATTCAGCATTTATCCTATAGACCGTAACTTCATTTACAGGATTCTTTTAATGCTACTTCTCTCGACTTAAGCAGAGTGCTCTCAAAAAAGGCCACTTAACTCACAAACCACTATGAATAAACAGCAATCCCATAATGTCGCACACATTAGACTGAGTGCCAATGCTTTGTAAACACTGTTTCATCACACTACGACTTACTGAAACACTCAACCCATTAGATCACACTCTGATTCATGTCTAGAACGATACTATGAAGAGGCTACCGAAACTAAACAGCAATTACAAACTCCAAATACGCAGAAGGATTGTCCATATTTCGGGTGTCCATTTTTTCAAATGCCTTTTGCTTTAAAAATATTGACTTTATCCTTAGACAATAATTCAGATAAAAAGGTATGATTTGTCTCATACAAAAAACTACTTGAGTTTTTGAACAGCTGACTTGAGATTCGGGTTCTCCAACCTGGATTTGCTTTCGTCAACCTTTATAAAATATCGTTATTTTCTCAAAAAACCCTTTTCTTGACCCTAAAACTCAATTCAGAATTTTAGGAAACTCACTTCAGATTCGGATTCCCCGATCCCCATTTCCTTTCGTCAACCTTTATAAAATATCGTTATTTTCTCCAAAAATCCTTTTCTTGACCCTAAAAACCCGATTCAAAATTTCTAGAAACTGACTTCAGATTCGAATTCTCCGACCCCGATTTCCTATCGTCAACCTTTATAAGATATCGTTATTTTCTCAAAACATCCTTTCCTTCACCCAAAAATGTGAATTCAAAATTTTCAAAAACTGACTTCAGATTCGGATTCTTCGACCCCGATTTACTTTTGTCAACGTTTAGAGGAAAGAACTTTATCTGATTGGTCGAAAGCCCGATATCGAAAACATCTCATTGGCTGAAACTATGGGCTGAATAACGTGATTGGTCGAAGCCTCAAAGCGCAAACTTCTTTAAGCGTATGTTTTTTTGACCCAGAGGTTCTTTTAACCCTGATGTTCTTTTGGCCTGACGACAAGCAAGCAAGCAAGCAAACTCTTTTTTTTCATATGACCCTTCCTTCAGTCGAGTCTATGGGCTTTTTTATTTCAAACTGAATTCTAAAATCAGAAAAACCACACCAATTTCTTCCGAATCAAACTTTTCTCGCTTGATACTACGTAGTCTCACTAAAAACCCTTAGTCCCCCCTACTCCTGCAAAGTCCCCCTTAGT